GTCCTTTGCTTATCTTGGACTTTATTATTCTCAATTTCTGGTCAATATATCCAATAGCAGATCTACTACTGCCTCTCCCCCCTCCCCCAACATGAGACACAAAAATCTAATTCTCAAAGGTCCTAAATATCCTAAAAAGAGCCTTGGTAGTACAGGGGTTTAAGGCACCCTGTTATTAAGCTGGTTATTAAGACCAGCTGCCTGCAATTACTGCAGGGTTCGAATCTCGCCAAGGCTCAAGGTTGACTCAGCCTTCCATCCTTTCTAAGGTAGGTGAAATGAGGACCCAGTTGTGGGGGCAATAAGCTGACTTTGTATAAATATACAAAAGGATGAAGGCTATTGCTGAGCACATTGTAAGCCGCCCTGAGTCTTTGGAGAAGGGTGGCATATAAATCAAATTTTAAAAAAAATAAAAAAATAAATATCATCTCTACATTGAAATCCTGAAATCAACCTACAGCTGCTATCAGAAAGCCTGCTCTGAAATAAATATACTGGGCTGAATTACAGGTAGTCCTCAACTGACAACAGTTCATTTAGTGACCATTCCAAGTTAACGATTGCAGTGAAAAGAGTGACTTATAACCATTTTTCACACTTAAGACCGTTGCAGCATCCCTGTGGTCATGTGATCAAAATTCAAACAATTGGCAATTGACTCATATTTTTAATGGTTGCAGTGTCCCGGGGTCATGTGATCCCCATTTAGTCACCTTCTGATCAGCAAATGGGGAAGCCAGATTCACTGAAGAACCATGTTACTAACTTAACAATAGCAGCAATTCGCTTAACAACTGTGATGAGAAAGATCATAAAATGGAGCGAAATTCACTTAACTGCCTCATTAATCAACAAAAATTTTGGGCTCAATTGTCATAAGTTGAGGACTACCTGTGCTTTACAGTGTTATAATTTCAAACTGAGCTGCTTTAACACCTGGAGTGACCAGAAACTAGACTGAGTGGTAGAATCCAGGTGACGTGGAGTAAATCTGTAAGGACTTCTGACTCCCATTTATTGAACAATAGCTCTTTTGAGAGCTTTGGGGCAAGCAAGAAATATTCTGAACAAATTGAACAATTAATCAATAGATAATAGGAGAAGGAAATGCCTGTCCACCCAGATCAAAAAATGAAGAAACCAGATTAATTCTGATGTGAAAAAGTTAACTTTCTTTGTTTTTTTTTAATCTGGCACTATCGGAATATTTTATTATAGATTATGAATTTTGCATTTGCTTTTGGATGATAGGTCACAAGTTTCCAGGAAAGAAATATGCAGGAAATTTCACACACCTGAAAAGCACCTTCCCTCGCATTATAATATTGTGTACGAAAACAAAAGTGACAGTTCAAACCGGAGCATCCTGCTCAGTCAGAGCAGAGGCGATGCTCGCCACCATCCAGCTCGCCACCTACCGGTGACCGAAGGTATCAGCAGCTAACAAACTTAAAACTTTGAACGTTGCCGTCCCGCTTCCCCGCAGTTTCCCGTAACCGAGTGAATGATACAGTCATCTGATTATTATTTGGTCTAGAGACCATCGGAAAACATGTTGGAAACGACAAGCTGGGGATGACCTTAAACAACTAGCCGCAATAACTTTTTTCTACGCATTGTTTTTACACAGATGATCTCAGCGTGTCAAGCTGGACCTGTAGCTCCTGGAGCGCGCGGTAGGGAGAAAGGTGGTTTCTTTCATCCTAACCTTCCCCGTTCCCCCCGGAAGAAACCCCTGACCGTCGTCAGAACTGTAAAACAGCAACCAGCAAAGCGCCAGAACGAGAAAACGACCTGGGAGTTTCTCTTTCTTTAGGCGTGCCTGTTAAAGAGCGCTCCAAGTTTCATTCGGATGAATGAACTTTTACTTTCAGTTGGTCTGATTTCAAAAGGAAAGAGAAATTGCCCGATTTTTGTTTGTTTTGATTTCACTTCGTCAGTTTTGCCAAAAGTGAAATCTCTTTAATTTCAAAGTTGATCAGAACTTTTTTCATCCCCGTCTTCAGTCCTCTCTAAAAAGCACCCGAAATAACCCACCGCATCACTTACAGAACGAAAGAGATGGAAGGACGCGAGTTACTAAGCACCTTTCCCCCCCCCCTCCCCTTAATACATATCCCATCACAACAGCTGGACAAAAAAACAAAGACCTTTCTTTTCTTTTCTTTTTTCCCCTTCTGGACTTTTAGCCTTTCGTTTGCCCCACTCTTCCCCGGTATCTCGCTCGCTCCCTACCTGCTTTACTCCAGTTCTTCTACGCGCCTTCCTTCTTCAAAGAACTACACAAGAAAGTGAAACGGCAAATACAAGGGAGGGCGAACTCGCAACCGTGAGAGTGGGCTTTACGAAATGTGTGTTGTCGGGACTCCAGTCAAAGCAGGAGAGGTGCCGCCGTCGCTGCCGCCGCCTCCGCCGTTCCCCGATCGTGGCTGGCAGCGATCGCCGCCGAGACTCCCTGGCTCTGAGCGCCTCCTCGAACCTCTGGCTCGCCGCGCGGTTGCATCACCCCCTTTATATAGCCAGCGGACGGCGCTGCTATTTACTCTGGCCGTCAGTCGAGGGTGATGTCATGCTAAGACTCCTCGGTGAGAGGGCGGAGCCAGGGCCGCGGGGGCGGGGTCTCCGAGTGACGCAAGGCCTTCCCCGCTCCCTGGGCGAGAGAGAGAGGGGGGGGGGAGGCCCTCGGCGCCCGCTCCACGCTGCCTGAGAAGCCGCTTGCCAGAAGCGCACACCCTTCGGAGCCGCTCGTGAGGCAATGGCTCCTGATCGCTGGCATCTCTCCGCAAAGCGGGGCCGAGGAGCATTTGGGGAGGTGGTCGGCGGTGACCTCGGAGAGGCGGGGGGGGGGGTGTCTCGCCGTCTTCTTCACTTTTTAGGCGACCGAAAGGAAGTCCCGGAGAGGACACCTTGCCGTTTTGTGCCGCTACTTAAAAAGGGCCATGGGTGACTGTCGCTTCTTATTTGGAGGTCTCTGGCGCCAGGCTGGGTATTTACGCGAGAGAGAAAGATTAAGATGAGTTTGCTGATCATCTCCACCGCCTTATCAAGTAAATAAGGCATCAACGTTCTTAAGATTCGCTGGGTTTTGTATGGGGTTTGTGTAATAAAATCGTACACCTGAGTCATTCAAAGCCACACTTTTCAGGCGTAACTATCACGAGTCACTCCCATCCCTGCCCTAAGAAAAAGGTTTGTGGAAGCAGCAGCGATCAGAAGTTGGAATCGGAGGGACAACTGAGTGGAAGGGAGCGCGCGGTATAATACCCACTCTATAGCTACGACCGGTTAAATTGTTAAAATAAAAAAAAGTCATTTTAAAATCCCCGCCTCTCTCTTTTTACCCAGATTGGATTCTCCCCCCCTCAAAAAAAAATTATTTCCAGTGGTTTTCCCACTCCAGTTTCCTACCATATGAAAGTGCTCTTCCCCGTGTATTGCCTTTTAAATGCAATATTTCTATCTTGCCTGGTTTTATTAAGGATGTTCGTACAAAAAAACCCTCCGTTTAAATCTGCCTTTGAGTCCTGGACAAAGAGAAGGCTGCTGCCGGATCCTTTCTTAACAATATATGTTCATGAAGTTCCACAATTGCAACGAGATTCTCAGCCTCGCATTGCAGCAAAAACCTTGCACACCATTCTTAAAAGAAAAGCCATTATCTCGATTTGGATGAATATCTGACCCTGTCTTAGTTCAACCCCCTCCGGGAATGTTCTGAAAACAAAATTCTCGTCTGAGAATATTTGAGGGACCTGCTTTGAATACCACGTGGACATGACACACCCACACACCCACTTTCAAAGGTTTTTCCACCCAACTACTGCAGGTTGTGAGAGTGACACGAGGAAGACAATTTCGATACTTTTCCTCCCCATTTTCTTGCACCACCAAGGGAATAAACGAGGATGTAGATTAGCTGGAAGCGATGCACTGACGTATTTCCGTGGGAGTGGAGCAAAGGGCGCGTGCAGGTCAAAGCGTACCTCGTGGGAACTCTTGCAAAAAGTAGTGGAGAAGTTTTCGGGTTGCCTTTCTTCTCTTTCCTCGTTGGTTGGCTGCGCTCACTTTAATAGAGTTATTTCTGGGTAACTCTGCTTCAAAAATGAGAGTATTCCCCCAGGACCCCCTATTTTATTTACAAAGTGGATACCATTAGCTAGTCTTCCACTGAGTTAAATGAAGTCTTGGACTTGCCATGCACGTTTCCAAGAGGATAAACTCAGAGGCCTCAGCTAAAGCTCTCTAAAGGCATGATTGAGGGCTGGCTCCAAATATTAATCATACATAGAGGAGACCTTTTCAAATGAAAGGAATGTAAGTTGGTTTCACTCATTGGTTTCAATCGGACATTCTGTAGGTTGCATTGAAAGTTTATGTATAATTTCTATGAGAACCTCTCTAAGTACAGACAGAATTGCATCCAAAACCTGATTTTTCATTGAGGTCATTTTCATACTAATCACTTATAACATTTGTAAGTGTAGAAGGCATTATCAATTAATGGCCCCTCTATCGCTTTTGGCATTCTGTGCCTTTGACATAGTAGTATAAAATCAGCATTGCTTTTGTCTGTACCTTGTATTTTAAAATGGCTGCCATGCTTCTTGCTCTTTGGTAATGTGCATTTATAGGCAAAACCGTGAAAAATCATGATAGGATTGGAAGGAACTGGTGTGCAATATTTAATTGTTAGTCAATATATATGGCTGTCCTTGAAACTGATTCTTGATGACTAACAAAAAAGTTACTTTAAAAAAAACCCACCAACAATAACAAAAACCAGTATATCCACAGAATGTAGCTGATGACAAACAGTGGCATCTATCTTGCATGCTCACTGAGTTGAGTTACTGTATATATACCGGTCTTGTGAATGAGCTAGTTTTGAAATTTTTGGCCACTTTTACAAATGACATTTAAAGGAGTTTTGTATTTTCCATTAAAAAGATATAAAATAGACTAAATTATTGTTATACATAATTCAAATAGATTATTACCTGGAACTGAAGGTTACATGTAGTGGTGACAGTTGGAGAAACACCATGGTTTTGGTTTACTTTCTGCTGGAGTCAGCTCTTCTATGTTCCATGATTGCTTTTTTCATATTCTAATAAAAAGAGAGAGATGTTTTGTCTGATTTATTTATTTAGGTTTGAACACATTAAGAATTCTTCCACTTAAGGAAATGTAACTTAAAAATAATATGGTATATCAAATTGTTATATTGATCCTAGAAATAAATATATATAATACCGGGTCTTATATTTTTTTGAACCCTGAAATAAGTGCTTGGCCTTATTGCCATGCACTCAAAAGCCCAATTGGGCTTATTATCAGGGGATAATAGGGTAGTTAATAATGGCTCTCATTTATTATATTTACTACCGGTATTGCTGTATGACAGCCTTATTTGTCAAGAAGAATGGAAAGAAAGATAAATATTTAAGTTGCATATCTAATTATATATTTTTATAATAAATAAAGTTCCATTCTATATTATTAAGGCTTCTCCAGAATTAGATAGTCTGCAAATTCATGCTAGTTAGTTAATACAAGGTATAACTTTTTCTCTGTTTATAACTCTTGATATGTATTTAACTTATTCCATTTCATCCACCTGATGATCCTAAACCTGATTTATTTACAAATGAATCATACTGATTTTCACTGAATTCTCCTGTAAATAAATCTGCTGCCTAAGGCAGCAAGCCTAAACTTTCTTTATAAAGCATTATTTAGCATTCAGTTAAACTTAATTTTGATTAAGTACATTTGGTACATAAAGTACATAACTACATAAAGTATAATCTTGCCTTTTCAAAGCATCCACTCTTTCTGTGAATTGTTATAGAACAAATAATTTCCACATTAATTTTTACAGATTGTAGAGTTTTGCTTGACATAATAAATGAAATCAATCATGAATGTAGTTGATATATAGTTCTCAAATCATAATTTCCTTTCCTAACTGAAAAAGCTCTTTTTAGTTTATCTTTAGCTTAACAGGTTCTTAACCTATTAAGAATGTAGGGTATACTCAACTCAAACTATTGTTCTAACTCAGTATTGTCTAAGATGACAAGGAGCAACTTTCCAAGTTTTCAAAAGAAAATTTTTCCAGCTGTTCCTGGGGTAATGAAGTAATTGAACATGGGACCTTCTAAAAACAACATATGATTGAACTACTGAACCATGGTTGCACAACAAACAATATTGAAGACTCTACTACCACTTCCAAAACACTCTAGAATCTCAGAAGAGCAGAAACTCATTACTAATTTTCTTCAAAAGAAATTATTCAAGAAGCATGTTTGATTATTTATATATTTTATTTATCAAAGTGTATATGCTTCCTATTCTGATTCTAGGCAGTTTACAACATATGAACAAGCATTCATAAAATTATGAAATTCAGCCATAAACCCAATAAATAAAGTATTTAAAATTATAAATACTGTAAATTCCGTAGCTGCTACCTAATAGAGGAGTGTTTTTCTCATTTTCCAAAACAGGGTAAAGGTACATCCAATCTTGGACAGCAATCTGTTCCAGAGGAAAGTGGCCACTACTGAGAAAGTCAATCTCTGGATCCCAGGTCACCTTGAATCTTTCGGGTTGGGTGTCCAGTCCATCAATATGGTATAGTAAACAATATATTCATGTATCCAGACCTATACAACTCTTGTTGATGCTGATCTTTTGGTAGACCTTCACTATCCACAGAATGATCAATTGCTCTGACTTTTGGATGGATTTAGAGAAACAGATCCCTCCCCCCCCTCCCCCCCACAATACAGAAAGTTATCTTGTAAGAAAAAGAACATAATCATAGTAAGAAAAAGAACATAATCATTTTGAGGAGAAACAAGACAAGTATGAAAAATATACTTCAAAGATGCATATCATAATGTAAGACAATAATAACATGATATACTGTTGTATTGTGTTTGTTGCTGGAGCAACAGTGTGAAGAAATAGCTCAATGGAAAATATTAGAAATTACTAGCTGCACATAACAAAACACAAAATACAAAAACACAAAAAGGAAAGGGAACTAAGAGAGGACAAAAAAACATGGTTAGGGATGAATTCATAGCTACAAAATTCTTACACAAATCCAAGAGCCTATGGACTCCCAACTCCTAATGCAGACTGTTCAAAACTGAAAATAGATGAATCTTGTGGACGTGGTTCTAAGGCATGGGAATTGGAGAATTTATATTCTAAATAGGGCTGTGCTCTGTTGGATAGAACAATTACATGGCTTGAGAATTTTCCTAGACTCATCATTGTTAATGGCAGTTCAAGTGACTTCTATAGATTTATAATAGATGGCTTCAAAGATTCAACTGGTATTGACGTGGGCAAACTAGCTGTGGTTTTTCACCTACTGATAACCTCCCATTTAGATTACTGTAAAGTGTTTTATCCAGAGTTGTTCTAGAGTCTGGTCGAGGAACTACAAGTGATAGGGCTACTATATCTACTGCATATCTCTGCATATTTTTGCATATCTCAAAAATATGGACAATTAGTATATGGCAGCAAAATGTTAAAAGATGAGTGGTCATCCAGATTTTTGCAACTCTAACGTAAGCATTCCTAGAGTTGGTACAGAATGGAGCAATCAAGTGGCTGAGCATCACAAGGCAATGTGCATGTCTGAATGTTGCTAAAACAACCATACTGGCTATCAATTAGCTGCAAAGACAGGTCAAGAGTTTACTTTTTTGACATATACAATTCTGAACAACTTGACACCAGAATCTTTGACAAACCATCTTCACTAGTACAGATAAAATTAGTGACTAAGCTCATCAGAGGAGATTTTGCTTTTTTGTTTGCATATTTATATTTATATAATATATACTATGTATTTATATGTGGGAAATGGTAACAAAATACCCCTTCCAATATAACGTTTGGATTCATAAAATGAAATTATATTTGTATTCATTTCCAAACTTGCTTAACATTATCAGTGTGTACTAATTACTGCTTTTATAGATCATTTTTACTTTGAAAACCATTTTGAAATCTCTTTTAAATGTAAAATAATATAACAATAAAAAATATCAGGGCAGGATATCCAAGTACTAAACCCTGGTGTTTCACAGTAAAAGGTTCTAGCTCTAGATTGTGAAATCAAACTCTTCTTCAGGTCATAGAAGTACTCTGCCAGCCAGAAGAGAGATTGAATGCTAGTTTAAATGGACATATACAGAGGTATCTGAAGGCTGTTTAAGAGATGACAGGGCTGAGCCCGAGGAAGGGGTCAAACACATCATCAGTCATGAGTCCCTGCATGCCCACGAGAGATCTACCTCCAGCCCACCTTGAATGCCTTCTTAATTCCCGCTCATTTCCCACTCAGATTCTTGTAGAGAGTTTAAGCTTTCAATAAATCTTTATACTCATTTGAACTGCCTGAATCTCCTGATTTCCCCGGTGCTTGACAGGTTGTGGTAAAATAAGTCAATATGGAAATCATGATGATACAAGTTCTGCCTGTTTTTATATATGATTGCATCCTAATGGCCACCATCTTAACTTTTTTGACTATGCCCTGAAGGTCACCCTTAATCCTATCATCAAGGCTGCTTCAAAGGCTCCTCTTATCAATTTGTACAATGCAAAAGGTACTGTCCTTGACAGTACCTCTGTGTTCTGACCTAGGCTTCCTGAGCCAGTAAAAAGTACACGATTAGTCCCAAAAAACCTCTTTTTATTTCAACGGCTGTGAATTCTGTTCATTCACAGCCCGTAATGAGTCACAAATAGTTTGTAAAGAGTCCGACAGAAGTCTGCCACAGTCCTTCAGGATAAGGCTGATAAGCACCCACCTTTATCTCCCTTGACACGCTGCCAAAGACCTAATTGTCAATTAGCTTTGCAAGGCCATACAGAGCACAGAGTCAAAACGGAGCTTCAGAATTTAAACTGACCAGAACGAATAAAGTAACTTCCTGCAAAGGCTCATGTCATCTTTGCTCCACCTTTATGTCTTATGGGAGGGGCCAGTCATCTACAAGCCTTACTCCCGAGTCGCCCCTTTTGTCTTAACTGTTCTTGTCTTCTGGCAGCTCTGCACATGCGTGCACTGGGAACATGCTCCCCCTGTTCCTCTGCCTCGCTGATGTCAGACTCTGGAGGCTCTGGAGTTAGCATATAACTCCCAGATGGCCCTGGCCCCATTTCTGCCTCTGAAGCAGAGCCCTCGTCCAAACCTTTACCAGACACCAGGACTGGCCCATGTTCCTCCCCAGCCTCCTCAGTGTCCGACTCTGCTGCCAGCTCTGCAGGCTGCCAGCGTACCACAACACTCTGCTTAAAGGATCAAAAGCTGAGAAGTTATGATGGCACTGAACAACTGACTTAAGGCCGTCTATAAAGTTGCAGCCATCAGGGAGTCTCCACAGTCATGTGACTGCAATTTCTAACATTCCCTGCTGGCTTCTACAAGCAAAGACAGTGGGGACATTAGTAGGAAGTCTGAAGTCACTCTGATTCTTGCCGCTTTTTCACCTGCACATGCTCCATAGCAACTCCTCTCCGCCCACTGCTGTACGCACGTATGCACCTCTCCACACTGTAGGGCACTTGCCCACAGCACCCCCATGGCATGCGCACATTCAAAGGACCTGCCCCTGCAACACCTGAACACCCACTAGTAACCACATGGTCCTGGGTTTATGATGGCAGCTTGAACTGCAGGTTTGCCATCGCTAAGTGATATAGTCATACAACATCATGTTTTACAATCGCATTGCTTAGTAATAGAAATGCCAGTCCCAATTCCTGTCATAATCCAAGGATTATCCGTAATCTGGCTAAAGTATGTTTATCTAGCTGAATCAAGATTCTGCACAATACAATTTATATCAAAGTTCATATGCAGTTTCAGAATAGTAGATAATGTGCTAGCCATGAGAAGCATCACATTTCCTCAGGTAAAAGAGCAGGGGTGAAATGCTCCCAGATCGGATTGGACCGGATCACCTTATCCGATAGCGATCTTGGCTGGTGGTTCAGCGATCCGGTAGCGATGGCGGAGCATAGCTCCGCCCACCCACCTTGGTGTCATTACTTCCTGGTTTTAATCAGGAA